CTTTCTCAGTAGCTACTGTGCCCTCCCATATGCACTTACTTGTAATTGCTTGCCCCTGAGATCCTTGATGATGAAAATAATGTCTTATTCATCTGTGAAGTTGCAGGGCCTAGCAAAGGTGGGACACATGAGTGCCCGGATGGGGAACACTTGGTTTCAGGGTGATGGTGAGCAATAATCATAGAGGTTGTGGAGAGATGACACTTAGCTTGCTGTGATTCAGTGGTATAAGATGATTCCCAAGGAGCTAATGCTTCTTTCAGTCAGTCACTTATTTAATGTTTCACTCAACAAATTTTTAATTGGACATCTGCTGCCAGATACTCTACTAAGTGCCCAAATTCAAGCATGAGTAGTGGTCCTTGCCCTCAAAAGCTCCTACTTTAATGGAAGAAGAAGACATGAAAATCAATGCTTGCAACACAGAGGGAGAAGTGCAATGATAAAAGATGATGTGCACAGATTAGAAAATGAAGGATGATCAGAGAGGGCTTTACTGTCTTTGAGTTGGACCTTGAGAGGGATGGGTTGGAAAGAGTCAGGGAGATGGGTGCATCCGGCAGGGGTATGTGCAGACGCTCACTGGGTAGGTAAACAGCATGGCTTCCCATGGCCAGAACACAGGATGTATATGTGGTGGTCTTTGGAGCTGTAGGAAGAAAGATTGGAGGAGTCATGGGGGGGGCCCAGACCAGGCAGACATGTGGAGTCCTTGAGAAACAGGTTGAATTTTTAGCTTCTTAGAGGGTTTTTTTTTTTTTTAAGATTTATTCATTTATTTTTAGAGAGAAAGAGAGAACGAGTGGGGGGGGTGGGAGGGAGAGGCAGATGAAGAGACAGAACCCCAAGTAGACTCCCCGCCAAGTGCAGAGACCAACGCAGGGCTCGATCTCACAACCCTGAGATCATGACCTGAGCCAAAATCGAGAGTCGGATGCTTAACCAACTGAGCCACCCACGTGCCCTGGAGCCCCTTCAGGGTTTTAAGAAGAATAATGAGTTGACCAGATGACTCTGACAGCTTTGAGAGGGATGGATGCATTGAGAGTGGAGGCTGGGAGATCTATTAGGTGACAGTAGCCCAGAGATGAGAGTGCGGATCTTTCTAGAATAGCAGCATTTATGGCATGGAGGGAGCATGTGGGATAATAATTTTTAGTATCAGTCAAGTGCTTGTTCTATGCCAGGCCTTGTGCTAAGTTTCCATGACCACATTTGATCTCTTGGATACTCCCACAATGTAGGATCGGTTATTACCCTCACTTTACAGATGAGAAAAGCCTTGCTTAGAGAGATGGTCACTTTTCATAAATTCCCTCAGGATCGCACAGCTGGCTGATGGCAGAGCTGGGGTTTGAACCTAAGTGCCTTAACTCCTTAACTTGTACTCACACATGTTGTGATAGAGTGCTTCCTTACAAGGCATGATGAGAATCTCCAGGGATTGATAAGATACTGGGGGTGCCTCTCCTGTTTTGGGCTCGCTAAGATGTGGAGTTGTTGTGGACGGGCCTCTTGAGCAGACTGGGAGATGCTTGTCTGAAGTGTCTGGGACCATCTCACCGGAGATGAAGCCAGGCCACAGGTGGAAGGTTCTTCGTACTCTGCATTACAGGGGTACCTGACCCCCAGGTACAACCAGCGGAGTGCCGCTGAACCAAGGTGAGCTCCTAAAGTGCAGAGACTGATGCAGGGCTCGATCTCACAACCCTGAGATCATGACCTGAGCCAAAATGTTGGCTAACTCCCCGACAGCTAACTCCCTGACAGCATGAGCAAGCTGTGGCTGCCAACTGGACCCACAGTGGCTACTGACCTGCTGATTTATAACGCAGCAGACGAGAAGGCTGAACTAGCTCTTCTGCTCCTTATTAGTTTAGTTCTGTTGATAGCAAAGTGTGAGTCAGTAGGAGACTCACCAATAATTGATCTTGAATTGGGAAGAAGCTGAGAAAAACACTCCAACGTCAGCAGCAGTGAGTTTGGAATTGTGTTCACGTTCACAACCCTGCTTTTAACAGTTTCACTACAAGCTCTTCCTGAAGACTGCAGGACAGAATTCAGAACTAATAAACCTCTCTCCTAAGAAGGAGGGAGGGGCTAGGAATGCACTGTTATGGATCACCTGCTACGTACCAGGCACATCAGAGCCTCACACGGCCCCGGGATAGAGGACAGTTATTCCATTTCACTGATGGGCATACTGAGGTCCAGATATGGGAAGTGACTTCCTAAGGCAACAGACTCTAGATTTGAAGCCAAAGCCCTGGCTGGTTGTTTAATTTTATTCTTACCACAAATGTGGCTTATTTTGTTCTACATCTCTTTGCCCTCTGTTCGGCCATGGCAACACCCATTGCCACTAACCATTTTACCTAATTTGAAACTGTTTTGACTTTCTTTGAACCCTGGACATATCATGAGAGATTCTTCAGCTTGACTTAGAAGTGTGTGCAGCTTTGACAAAGGTGGACTTTGGAGCCAGGACAACCTGAGTTTGACTCCAGATCTGTTTGTTACTGTCTGTTTCCTGTTACCAGGAAAACTGTTTAACCTTTCTGAGCCTATGTTCTTCGGATGGTTGATGTGAGGATCAAACAGGGTATATGACACACATGCGTAACAGACACAAATTAGCATCTAGAATTTATAAAGAACCCTCGCAAATCCAGTAAGAAAAAGGTGAACAACCTAACAGAAAACCAGCCAAAGGATATGACCTTGACAGTTCACCTAAAAGGAAATCCAAATGGTCAATCAACAAGCAAATATGCACAAACTTACTCATGATCAAGGAAGTACTAATGGAAACAATGAGACAAAATTCACACCCATAAATTCGACAAGAATTTTTAAAGTCTAACAAGAGTGGGGGTGGGAACAAGGAGCAACAGGACCATTGCTTGTGAGAGAGAAATTGTTTTAGGCACGTTGGAGAGCAATGTGGCAATACTGTACAAAGTGGAAAATACAAATACCTTACAATCCAGCAAGTGTGCTTTTATATATAAGTTCCAGGAGACGTTTTTGATAATGGTCCCTGAGCATTTTTTAAGTAGGGAAAACTGCTAACAGCCTGAATGTCTATTAATAGGTCAAAGGATAAACATATTTCGGTACTTTCATATTATGTAATTGGAACATATTACAGCTGCAGACTGTGAAAGCAGTCTGCAGAATTACATCTGTGGCTATCAACCTCGATGCATCTAAGAAATGCAATACTGCATGATGCCGAAATAATTTTATAAGTAAATTATAATATAGACATAACTAAATATACATAAAAAACATGGATGGGAAGGATACACATTAAGTGCATTAGAAGTTGGCTCTTAGGAGAAAGAGAGGAGACTAATGCCGGGGACAAGAGAACTTCAGCTAAATATCTGAGATACTTCACCCTTTTAAAAATGCGGAAGTAGGGACACCTGAGTGGTATAGTCAGTTAATGGTCCGACTCTTATTTCGGCTCAGGTCGTGATTCCAGGGTGGTGAGATCAAGCCCCGCATTAGGCTCCATGCTCAGCAAGGGGTCTGCTTGAGATTCTCTCTCTCCCTCTCCCTCTGCCCCTCCCACTCTTGCTCTCTCTCTCTAAAATAAAGAAATAAATCTTTAAAAAATGCAGAAGTAAATATGACTCATTATTAGCGTTGTTTATTTCCAGGGGTTGGTTCATAGATGTTCATATGATTAGTATCCAGCACATTTTCTGAGGCTTTTTGGACAATCTCTGCCTCATCTTTTTCTCATTCGGTGGGCCTCTTACTGTGGTCTCAGTTAGCCCTGTGCTTCCTAGACCTGAGGCCCGTTGCCTCTGCCACTTCTGGCTCAGGTGAAGCTCCATGTTGCAGGTGTGGGGTCTGGCTTCCCCATGGGGCTATGTGAAGGACCACTGGCTGTCACCAGGACATTCATCCAGAGATGGAGCTGTGACTCACAAGAGACAGGAAAGGGATGGAGCCAGCGGAGAAATTCCTCTCCCTTTCTGCATCCTGAGCCTCCTTTCCCCACTTCACTGCCCATCCAGAGACATTTCAACTGAGTGGTTCCTTTCTTTTTTCTTTTCTAAGATTTTGCGGGGCGCCTGGGTGGCTCAGTTGCTTAAGCAACTGCCTTCGGCTCAGGTCATGATCCTGGAGTCCCAGGATCGAGCCCCGCATCAGGCTCCCTGCTCAGCGGGGAACCTGCTTCTCCCTCTGACCCTCCCCCCTCTCGTGTTCTCTCTCTCATTCTCTCTCTCTCTCAAATAAATAAATAAAATCTGTTTATTTATTTGAGAGTGTGAGAGAGCACAAGTGGGGGGAGCGGCAGGCAGAGGGAGAGGGAGAAGCAGGCTCCCCGCTGAGCAAGGAGCCCGATGCGGGGCTTGATCCCAGGACCCTGGGATCATGACCTGAGCCAAAGGCAGACGCTTCACCGACTGAGCCACCCAGGCGCCCCTGAGTGGCTCCTTTCAATCTCTTCACGACCCACATGGCCACAAAATACCATGTCAGCTTGTGTTTGCCTCCTGACCTCTTTCCCTCCCTTTCACTGCCCTGGAGTTGTGCTGGCCCTTCGCCTTGTCTCCGGCTCTGTTGCAAGAATTCTAGGCTGAGACATTATTTTTTGTACTTTCCTGTATTCCACAAATAATCCAGTGCAAGGAGCATAGTAAGTGTTCAATGCACAGTGGCTCCTACTATTAATACCGTCACAGCCAAATTATAATCAGACCCTATGCATCTCAGAGCTGTCAAATTGGAAGGAATCATAAATTATTAGGTTCAGAGGAAGGAGAACGGAGATACTCTTTAGTTACTACTCAGTCCAAACTTTAAAATTGAAAACAAGGGATTTTTGCCTAGACTTGTAAGCTAGCGAGCGCCTGAGCTGAGGAACAGAAAATATCCAACGGTCCCCAAATTTTAGTGACGCCATCTCAATCATCTTCCCAAGGGCTCCATTCCCCACTGGGGGTTGAGCACATTTTGAGCATGTGATTGCGGGCACTTACTCTCCACTGTGGTTCAGGTTGTCATAGCGCAGAAAGAGGCCCGCATAGATGGTCTCGGTCAGCAGGGCGTAGATGGCGATCATAATCAGCAGCACCGCCAGCTTCAAGACAGAGTTCAGGCGGAGGAAAACTGCACAGGTCACCATGGCCAGCACCCCGGTGAAGACAAAGTACTGGAAACAGAGAGAGGGGAGGTGGTCAGACTCAACAGGAATACGGGAGGGCCAATCCCCTCAGCATGGGGGCCAGAGGGTCTCCTGACGCAGGTGGTGGCTGAGCACCTCCCTTTGGAGACCTCAGGCTTCCCTCAAGTTCAACAGGCCCCCAACAGAACTCATCACTTCCTTACCACCTCCTGAGCCTCTGTTCCCTGGCGTTTGGGGACCATTCACACCAGCCCTAAGCCAGAACCATTGGTCTCCTCTTTGCTGCCTTTCTCTTCCCCACACTCCACAGTCAGGCCACCCTAAGTCTGTAGCCTCCACTTCCTTCAGAGAGTTCACAACCAGGCAGCCCTCCCCTCCCGAGCATTGTCTGTTCTGGTTCCAGAACAGTTTCCGGCAACTCTGTCTGCTTGCAACCCCCAACCCCCAACCCCCACTGAACACACGCTCTCTTTCTCTCTCTAGAATTTCTAAAACACAGACCTTATCATGCCATGCCTCAGCCTGAAGGCCTTTTACGGCTCACCATTCCTTCAAATGGTGTTCTCCTTTCTGAGTGGGAAGTTCACAAGGCCAGCATGGATCAGATTTCCCTTCATTTTCCAAACCCAACATATGCTTCAGCCTCACCATCTACCTGCGTCTCCCATGGCTGTTTCCTGGCTCTCCTGGGCCTCTGTGCTCTGCATCCCATGTCCTCTTGCTCAGAGCTCATCCATGTGACTAAGCCTCACTTCTCTGACAAGAGTCCTCTCCTCTGAGAAGCCTTAGTGTGCATTTCCAGGTGTCCTGGAAACTACCTCATTCCTCCATAGCACCACCCACACTCAGGATAAGATTTATCTCCTTGTATAAGAAGTAGCTGTTCAAAAGGCCAGTCTGGTGCCACTCAAGCTGGAATCCTGATGTGGCCCCCACAGCTCAGTCTGCCCAGCCAGATTTCAGCCTTCTGTAGGATCCTCCCCAGCCTCTTTCCCTTATAGAAGCATCCTACTATAGCATTCTGAATGTCCAGTTTGGATTCTGACTCTCCAGTGGGAAAAAAGAATAAAAGTTGTGTTATCAAGGCCCACTTGGTTCTTTTGTAATTTTCAAAATAACTGGCCAAGATGGGAATCACAATTCCCACTTTACAGGTGAAGAGACTGAAGCTCACAGAGCTTAAGTGAATTGTTCAAATTCTCACAACTGGAAAATGGCACCTAGTTAAATATAGTCCCATGTTTGCACAATGGATTGGTCCCCTCCCTTGGGAGCAATCTGTCCACATACATGTGACTCCAGTGGACACACTGAGCTTGATAATCCCTAAAATCCACTTCAGCCCTCTTATGCATGGCTCTTTGTAACAACTGGCTGTCTCCTCTCTCCTATTACAGGAAGAGACAGTTTCTGGATGGGCAGAGGAAACCATAAGATTTCTAGAAATCTCCAAGCGACTATGGAAGACACGTTTATTGAGTTCCTAAGTCAAACCGACTCATTAATGTATACTTTCAACAGTGATATCAACAAATGTGGATAGCACCCTGATGAGACCCCTCTGAGGGCCAGGTACCGTGCCTTTATCGTGCATGTGGTGGACTTGGGAATGAACAAGGCAGCGTGCCTATCCCTAAAGACCCCTGTGTCTGGGCACCCTTTACTTTTATCTTTCTTTCTTAGTAAATCCAATTACATCCATGTCTCAAATGGATGATGAGCTTTCTTCAACTCTCCTTTAAGATCTCCCCTTGGCAAGATTTTCAGGTAACTCATCTTGATGCCCTGAATCCATCATTTTAACAGATAGAGGAGAGGTGGGTAGACCTGAAGCATCTTGCTTCATTGTTACCTGCATCATAATGAAGAGTTGTGCACGGTTTTGTCAATGCAAATTATGAATCATGTATTAAATCAAAGCTGTCAAAATGATTATGCCTTTAAGAAAAACTTTATGAGGGCACAACAGTTAAGTTTAAGAAGTGTAATAAGGATTTACTGAGTGGCTGTTGCAATCAAGGCATGTTGTTAGGCATTGGGAATTCCAAGGTGAGAGATTGCCTGGACCATATCCTGTGGTCTAAGATGTAAACCTGACGTGGAGAGACCAACACCAATGTGCTGTGGGACGTGCTCTGCCAGCAATGTGATCAAATATGATGGAGCACAGAGGCAGAAGGAACACACGTTTGAAGAAGGATTTACGGGACAGGTGGATTTGAACTGGATCTGAAGAATGGATAGGATTCACATGACAGAAAAGGGAAAAGGGAGAACATTCTAGGAAGATAGAATGACATGAACTCAAAGGTACAAAGGAACAAATCTATAGAATGAATGCCTTGGGTATATCAAAATACCACATAATTAATCATAAAGAGAGCTAGTAACATTGGCAGGCAGGTAAGTTTCAAATGAGTTGCCCTCCTTCTTTCTCTGCCAAGACATCTGAAGTCATAGTAGTTAAATATAGTCCCATGTTTGCACAATGGATTGGTGGATCTTTCTCTTTTTGTTGCCTCCATCGACGGTGTTAGTGTCCTCTTGGCAGCTCTGTTATCACCCTCCATTCCACTGAAAAGAACCACCTTGCTCACTGCCTTGCACAGTTTAGGAAACTTTCTGCTTTAAAGTTGAACCTTATGGTGATGCTGTAAACCACAGGACATCAAAGGTATGAGGACCCTGGGTAAATAACATCAGGAGTTTTTCCTCTGTCTCTTTTCTGGCTTGAATGAATAGTGGGAGTGAGACCAGGAAATGGAGAGGAACAGGAAGCTACGAAGTATTATGACTTTGTGAAAACCTCTCTTTCAGCTGCATCTGGGCCCATAAATTGCATGTTTCCTACAACTTGGAAGGTTGCTGGGCTCAACACAATGACTAAATTTCTGTCAAACGACCAATAGTCTATGTGTTCTTTTAAGTTAGCCCAGGAACCCAGGTGCTCCATAGCTTCTAGAGTGCCCCCTGAAAGGGTCCTGAACATTAGGGGTTCACAGGTGTGGCAGGGCAGAGATAGGAGGCAAAGCCACGTTGAGAAACTCTTGTATGTACTGCTGAGATGTCTGCACTTTATTCCGCAAGGAGACATGGAAAGGCATTACTACACAGTATTTTTAAAAATGTAGGATGATGCTTATCTTGGCAGTGCTTACTGGTTGATTCAATGCAGTCACTTGCAAGACTATGTCCTTGTCTTGGCTGTGCTTCTTTGATGACTGAACTCAAATTTTTGTAAATCATCATCAGAGTCCATTTTTGAAAAATATAAAAACGCAGCCTGTGTTTGATTCTTGAACAGTGATGTCCAGCCAGATCATGCATCTCAGTGACTTTCAGAAACTAAATGTGCTTCCAGAGGACAGCAATTTGAAATTGTGAAACATACATCTAGGAAGTATACGCTTTCAGCTAACAACGATCAGCAGAGAGGAAGATGGTGACATTGTTGGAATTAAGTGTGTGCCCTCCAAGGCCACTCCCTAAGCATGGGCAACAAGTGCAGGGTCTTGAAGGATCTGGCTACCTGAGAACGATGCAATGCAAGGTGGTCACCATCTTGGAAACAATTGGTGAGGCCAGGAGAGCGAGATTATGAGAGGGAAACAGGCTATGAAAATATGGCCTGTTCAAGTTTTTAGTCATACATCGGACACATGATCATGTAGATAATCTCATGTTTGGAGCACAGAACATTGTGCATTTAAAGAATTTGTAATGGCCCTGTCTTCCTTAAATTCAGATCTCCACTTGGGCAGGCACTATTTTCCCCTCGTTACCAAAGGCTTCAAGAAAGAGACAAGAAAGAAACTAAAATTTAATGAGTGTTTTATGGATGTCATCTCTTTTTGTCACCCCAACAATCTTATGAGATGGGTATTATTAATAATCCCATTATAGTGGTGCCTCAGTCGGTTAAGCAACCGACTCTTGATCTCGACTCAGGTCTTGATCTCAGGGTGGTGAGTTCAAACCCCGTGATGGGCTCCACAAAACAGCAACAAAAAATAATCCCATTAGATAGATGAGAAAACTAAGGCTCAGAGAAGTTAAGTGACTTGTCTAAAGCTACAAAGCAAGTAAATGGCAGAAGAGTCCTCCTTCATTCGAGGTCACCACACAGCCTCTGCCTCCCATACCTGTTCTGTTTCCCATGTTCTGTTAATGTCCTTAGAGACTTGAAATCTAAGCTTCAGCAAGGTGGGCTTGTTGGTTTTTGGATCATCCTGTGCCTTTATGGCTTTTGGGCTCTTTGTGGGGAAAGGCAATTCCAAAAACTGATTTATCACTTGGGAAAAAACACATCAATCTTCTTTATATATTTAGCCATAACATCTGATCGGCTCTGTGCAGAAACAAAATGGGCTCATGTAACAGCCCTCTGTTCAACTAGAAAAAGTTCTGAAATTACTGCAAAGCCATTTGACACTCCTTTGTTTGAATATTTTGGTGGGCCTGCCGCTGCAGGAACGTGGGAAAACCTAATTTTATCCTGAATAGCAGCTGGGGATTTCTGACCACCCTGAATAAAGTTTCCTCCAAGACCACTCAGGGTTTGGACTCCCACCTGAGGAGTTAACCAGAGAAATGAAAGCACCAGTTTTTATCATCACTTTTGGAATTTAAAAAAAATCTGCCTATTTGCTTGATCATGGATTCTCTTTTCTTTTCATTGTTTCTCTTCCTCTTTCTGCCTCCTTTTTGATTTTTCTCCCTCTTGTCTTCCTCTTTCAATCCCCCCCCTTTCTTCTCTCATCTTCATCAAGACAGCAAATATTTAATGAGCAAAGACACAGATAATGACACCCCTGTGGGAGATTGGCTCTCAGGGACACTTCAAAACGTTAGCAAGCTCTAACTGTTCCTGCAAATACAGTTGACTATTTATTCAAATGTGCCAGCGCATATAATAAAGGGGCTTGACTCTAAAATGAAGGTCTTCCTATCGAGCCTGCTGAGAACCCCGTGCAGGTGTTGAGATAACCACACTCTGGGTTTGTGCGTGTGATCAGCATTCGTTTCGC